TGTAAGTGATTGAATAATGAAGTGAACTATTGTCTGTTTGGAGACTTTTGAATCATCATGTATACAGTAGAGCGTCGTTTATCTGAATCAATTGGGGACTGGGGTTGTTCGGATAACTTATTTTTCGGATAACCGATTATGTACGAAATTTTTCTCCCTTGTGTGTCGCTTCGCGTTGAATTTTCGTCGATGTTAAGCCTAATGTAAACTTTTTAAAATAATAACCGTGGCTATTGTATCGTTAAAAATTATTTCTTTATTTTTTACAAACAAAATAAATATATTGAAAAATATAAAAACAAAAAAAATGCAACTACAGTAGAGCGTCGTTTATCCGAATTAATTGGAGACGGGGTTGTTCGGATAACTTATTTTTCGGATAACCGATTATGTACGAAAAAATATCCCATGTTAAAATTTTTCTCCGTTGCGTGTCGCTTCGCGTTGAATTTTCGTCGANTATTTAAGTTGCTTTTAAATCCAACAATAGAGTAGAAGAGTATGAGACTAAGATGACTGAAGCAATTTTTTCTATGTATAGATACTTGCTACTTTAAGGGATTCGGTTTAAGATTCTCAGAAATTATCATGTGTGGTTGCCTAGACATGCTGCATTTTAATTTTTTCCATCTGGTCACTTCTGTTCTGGTTCCTGATTGAATCTATGACGACATGAAAAAATTTTCTTAGTATCCTAGAGGCAGAAAGAGAGAGAGAAATTTTCAGTTTTTTTATTTAAATAGCTTTTTTTTATCACTTTAAATAGATGATTTCAATTAATAGAATGAAATTAACTTAATTTTAAAGTGTATGTGAATTACTACTATAAATTTTAGTTTAATTTGGTAACTATTATGGAAATTATTCAGAGATGTGAGTTATCTAGTGATACATGTTAAGTGAAGTGCTTTATTTCCACTCTCTTGTAGCAAAGCCTACATGCTGCTTTGGATTATCTGTATAAAATTATAGTAATTAGTTTACAACATGATGTAAAAGATGTATTATAAAACACAAATTGTATGTCATTGAATTTTTAGAATGAATTGATAGTTGCATAGAGTTAAATGCATTTGTTGCATAAAAAAAAAAGCTTCTATCTATTGTAAGCTAAAACAAATTTAGCTTGAATGAGCAATTATTTATTGTGACATCTTCACTATGCCACGCTGCAATTTTTAATCATATTTTTAATTTATTTAATTTAAATATTTGCTCTCCACTTCAAATTAGTAGTCTTGCCCCTGTACATCATACTTTTCCATTAGCAATGGAGTCATGCAGATCATCTACTAACTGCTTTCAGGGGAAGTTTTGAATTGAAATAACATGAATTACAGTTTGCATTGGAAGCTCATATATATTAATAGTTAATTGGGACTTTCCCTAAGCTTTCTATATCTGGTCTTAACTTTCATATAGCTAACTCTGTTCTCAACATTAAGAAAGGATGGACAGATGGTTGGACGGATGACAGTAGGAATTTATAGGTCTACAATTTTTTCAAATTGCAGCCTAATAATACCTTAAATATATTTTTTTCAGTAACACTATAAACTGAAAATGGTCAAAAACATTTGTTTAAATAAATTGTAGTGTTGCTAAAAAAGTATTTAAGGTGGTGTTCAATGCATTTATTCCTTTACATATTTCTGTTATTTGTATTAATAAAATACTGTAATTATTGATAATCAAACTATAAAATGTTGGTTTGAAGTGCAATATGCCTAAACAGCACGTATTATATTTAGCATTTCACGCAGTATCAGATTAAACGAAAAGGTTGGTGTATGTATAATATTGTTAGAATCTTCTCCAGTTTGAATTTATTATTTGTATCTGATTACAATATTGATAACCTATACAGTATTTTATAGGCTTATGCATAGCCTTGGAAACTAACCTTTTATTACCATTGTTTATGTTTGACTAAAAACCAAATACAAAAATATGATACAAAAATTACACTAGTTTTTTCATATATGAGAATATAAATAAAAAAAAAATCGATTTTTTAAATTTCTTACTTCAGGATAAAATACTGATTAAACACTGTTAAAACTTGTTCAGTTAAGACATTTGTTTCAGATATTGGGTTATAATTAATGATTATAATCATTAAAATCTGTCATTGAATCAATAACAAATCTACTTTATTAGGGGTATGAATCAAAGATTTATTGTTTAAACTAAATTAGAATTTTTTAAACTTGCTTTTGATAATAGTAATTATATTTTATACAGGTATAACTTAGATATGTTTATAACAAGTATACTAAAAGTAATTGTGCCTTAGTATACTAAGGCAAAATTATTTTTAGTACAAATTTTTTTGTCAAATCACAAATCATTTTGGATAAGAATATTTCTATTTTGAAGGATTTTTAATAGGGTTTAGTATTTATTTGAAGAATCTATTATAAATATTGTTACTATTGTAGTGAGGTTATTGATAAATTGCTAAAAGTACAGTGTATCATTTTATTATTTTAGCTGTGTCTTTTTTTTGTATTAGTTATAACAGTTGGCCGGCTTGTAATGTTGTGCACTGTGTTTTTAATTATATTGCTCTAAACATCATATCAGCATGTTAATGTAAGTTTAAACCCTTCTCTTTGTTATTTGGGTATTCAAATTGTTAATGTTGTAAGTAACTAATGGTTGAATCTGTAATCGACAATTTGCCAAATGTTGAGATTTCATTGTACATTTCGTAGATGTGAATGTGTCAATTTCTTAAATATGTATGTTACATTACAACCTACATTTTTAATGTTAATACAGTTTAACTTGCATGTTTTATTGCTAAAATATAATTGTAAAGAAGCTGATTAGGGACTGTAGGTCCAAAATGCATATTTTTTTTTTTTTTTTTGGAAATAAATTGATATTCTAAAGCTGATCTTTTGTCTAGAGACGGTGTAATAAGTCTAAGAATAGAGATGCCAACATAGTGCTCACAAGTATAAATATTATTATTAATCATATTGCATTTTATTGAAATCTGTTTTCAGTTCATAAAGTTTTAATGTTATAGGCAATTTTATGTAAATAAATTTATTTGCTTCTTTAGTTTCCCTATTTATTTTATCGTAAATTCATAAAATATATAACACTTTACACATAACCTATTTGTCAAATGAATTTTGGCCTATGCCCTCTTCAGTTGACATCATATAGATTATGTTTATATATATGTTGCAGTCAAAACCCGTTTTTAGTTAGAACATGTTTTAACAAGTTGAAACTAGTTTATACTGGATGTCTTTGTTAAAACGAGTTTTGTCTAGTTAAAACTAGTTTTAACTCAAATTCATTTTTTGACTAGCAGTAAATTCTAGTTTTGTCTAGTTAATTTATTGCTCTCATGTTTTAATTTTAGATAAAACTAGTTTTAACTTTGAACATTAGTTAAAACTAATTTTAGCTACATAAATATGTTTGGGGGAAATAAATAAAGTTATGTATAGTGATTCAGGGGAAGATGCCTAACATTTTGCTTATGAAGGAAATTATAGTGCTAATTTGGGTTTTGGAGGCCTCTAATGAAAATATCATATTCTGGAGTGTGTTTTTCAAATAAAACTTTGGAGTTTATTAAAAAGAAATTGTATTTTGTGTTTGCAATGATGACTTTNGCTTGTAACTGTGGCTTCTATTTTAATTTTTAGTTTAAAATTACTCTAGAAACATTTTACAACAAAAACCTCGTTCTTATCTAGCTTTCATTCTTCTCCGATGCAGAAAATGAAGTAACGGTAGCCAACTACAGCTTTTCACACTCAATATTGGCCCAACGATTCATCATACAAATACATGACAATATGTGACGTCACCGTTTGAAAATATCAAAAATTAGGCATCTTTCCCCACTTACCATCTTACCCCGAATCACTCTATATGTTGCAGTCAAAACCAGTTTTTAGTTAGGATGCGTTTTAACTAGTTAAAACTAGTTTATACTGGATGTCTTTGATAAAACCTGTTTTGTCTAGTTAAAACTAGAATTTACTGTTAGTCAAAAATGAATTTGAGTTAAAACTAGTTTTGACTAGACAAAACGGGTTTTATCAAAGACATTCAGTATAAACTAGTTTCAACTAGTTAAAACGCATTCTAACTAAAAATGGGTTTTGACTGCAATATATATATATATGATACAATACACTATATTTGATTAAAATTGTGACATGTGCATGATATATTTATATGTACAAAGTGAACATGATGAAAAATTGGTGGAAATATTTGGGAAAGATTTCTTGACAAATTTTCAGCCTGTCATATATGTTTTATTCAGATTGCTATATGGTTTATTAATGGTTTTTTTATGTTTTGAAACAACAAAACAAACTATGATTACCGTAAATTTGAAATTTGATGGCAAAATACAATAATCTTTTGTATTGCTACACTACAACAGATAACTACTTTTAATTGATATGCAATGATAAATTCAATAATGTTCAACAGATATATAGTCTTTGTAACTTTGTATTATACTTTTATAATTCTATTATTTTTTTTAACTTTACCAAATTACATTTGACTATAGTTTGGCTTGCTATTAATTATCAAAATTTAGTAATGACCTATATAGTTATCTCTTAAATTAATTAATCCAGAAGTAAAGATTGGATAGTGGTTTAGCAGTGTAACTGGTAACACAGCTGTGTGGTAAGCAAAAGTTACAGGTTTGATTACTACTCCAGGTTGATTTTTTTTTCTATGAATATTCTAAGTTATTAAATTTAATTCAAAAATTAATACAAAATGGTGGATTAACTTCCTGTTTTTAACTGAATTACTGTTTTGATAATTAACAGTAAGTCAAAATGTGTTCCCTGTAAACCAGCATTTAATAATCGGATTATGATAATCTTTGGACTTATTTGTTTAGCTATAGCTTTTTTGTCTATAAGTTATATTAAGAATTATATAATTTAGAAGGTTTTAAATTTTATAAAATCATTCATTAGTTTTCTTTTGTTTTATTTCAGAGACTGAAGCAGTGGAAACTGACTTACACTTTGAATCATTTAATAATATAACATCATCAGATATGCATGTAAATATGCAAAATGATACAAAAATAATTGGATTAAAAGACAATATGGAGAAAGATGATAATTATCTTGAAGATGATAGTGATCCGTTGACAGATTATAGAAATTCTGTGTGGAAAAAGAAATCTACCAAACTTTTATTAACTTTGTACAAGGAATATAAAAATGAATTTTGTGATTACACTAAAAAGAAAAAATATATTTGGCAAGCAATTGCAGAAAAATTACGTCAGGAAGGATATTTCGTTACGGCTGACAGTTGTGATACAAAGTGGAGAAATATGTTAAAAACTTATCGTAAAACTGTGAAGTATAATGAACAGAGGAATGTGGTGCCCAGAAAATGTCCATTTTTTGACGAAATTGATGACGTTCTTAATGAACAAGTTGCAAATAGACAAATTAAAGAAACTTTGCAGATCAAAAAAGAAAATTATGGTTATCTTATCCAAAAACGAACAGGGGTGACATGGAATATGGAGTCTGTTAAATACTTAATTTCTGCATTCAGAGAGCATAAAAAAGATTTTCATGATGACAGAATAAAAAAAAGGTATGTATGGAATAAAATATCAGAAACAATGAGTCAAAAAGGATGCATTGTTCCTCCAGACTCTTGCGAAGCAAAATGGAAGAATTTGGTAAGGAAGTTTAAACAAACACTAGATAGTAACGGCAAGCCAACTACCGATACTTACAGATCACCACTTTATCGAGAAATTATAGATCTTGTTAACGAATCATATTGTTCGTACGAACAAGTAATTGATGTAAACAAGAACCCAATCATATCAAGTCAATGGCCCGAAAGAAGGAAACCGGTGGGATTTATATGGGATTTACAGTCAACAAAATTACTAATTTCACTTTATGCCGAAAATAAAAACAATACATTTCAAAAGAAATCAAAATTATGGACAAGTATTGCTGAAGCAATGAGTAAAAAGGGATACTCTGTGACTCCAAATACATGTGATGCTAAATGGAGGAAAATGATCAAAATATTTAAATCGGCTCTACAGTATCATAAGAGAACCGGAAATGTTCCAACAAAGTGTTGGTATTTTGAAGAAATGAAAGAACTCTGTGGAATTTTATCTGTGAATACAAAATGTGTTAAACATCTAAAAAATTTTCATAATAGGAAGAAATTGCAAAAAAGTTCAGTTAATAAACCATCCATAAAAATTCAAGAATCAAATGATATTAAAAAAATAGACATAATCTCTTGGTTAGACAGTAGAAAAGAAGAACAAGATAGACATGAGAAAGAAAAGATAGAAGTTTTAATGAATATGCATAAAGAGAGAATGGAATTAATGGGTACATTAATTCAGGTGTTGAAAAATTAATGTGCACTTGTTATAATTTATTTATTTACAAAATATCTTATAATTGTAGAAGATTATATGTTATTTATGGACTCCCTTTTATAGATGTAAGTATTAGATTTTGTTGTAACAAGTTGTTTGTTATATTAATATAATTCTCAATACCTTGATCTACTTGAAGTTCAATTTTATTATTATTATATGATTAAATGTATTTTGGGAAAGTCCCATTTTCAATATATTGTAAGTCAATCTATGATGAAATATGCCATTTAATTTAAGTACTTAGGTGTCAAACAATAAATAGTTTTATATTAGGTTTATGTTAAATTCAGTCTGAATTTTAATTTTAAAAGAATGAAATACTGTTTCAATAATCTACTGTAATTTGAAACAACAGAAATAATTGTCACATTATTGAATTAATGTTTCGTATAGATAGTTGGCAAAGATGGTAAAGGCAGCAGCCTGCCACTGTAGCAGATCCAGATTTGAACCTAGGTTGGATTTTCAGGAATTTTCATGAGTAGTTTACTCTGGATATGTTGGGTCCTGTCTTTTACCATCCAGTTTTCCGCAATGAACATGCTAACCCATGATAGATATGAAAAAATAACTCAATGTCTGCAGAGCAGAGAGAGAGAACTTGTTTTGATAACTATTATATAAAATGTTCAGATTTGTCATTTATCTGAAATCGTGCTAAATATATAAAATTTTAATTTTCACTGTTCAAACTCTGATGATGAGACCTAACTTAAATGTTTAATCATTTAATAAATGATTTTATGAAAAAAATTTAATGTGATGTAAGTATTAAGAAATGTGGTACATAAGTGTGCATATATAATATGCAGAAATATTTGAACATGAAAAAGCTATAATTAAGTGATTAAAATCACTTTCAAAATTTGGAATTTTGTAGTTTGAAACCTGAGTCAGGTTTATGAAATAAATTGAAAATGTTTGTTCCTTAAACTCTTTTGCTGGAAAGTGCAAAGGTTTTGATTTTACGAGTTATCTCTTCCAGCTTTGATTTTGATTTTTCAAAATCATTTTCTGCTTTTGAAAAAGCTTCAATTTCTCTATATAGATTCAATAAAAATATTTAATTCTAATCTAATAAATTACTTTAATATTATTTTATCTGAATTATTTGAATATTTGTTAATGAATTATGTCTAATGTGTCAAGTAACAATACAAATTTGTGATGAATGTCATTTTTAATTAGATTGTCTGTAAATTTTATAGTAATTTTGGAATTGTTTGTGAAAAGAAAGCTAAAAAATTTAAAGTATTCCATTTTGCTAAATAACTTAAAATATTTTAAAAATAAATATAAGTATATTCAGTAGGTTGATTCAAATAGATTCCTAGATGTTATCCTACGGGGTATAGTTGTAATGCAATCATGCACATCACACCAGATGGGTTTAACACGCATTTATCATGGATGGAAGAAAAGCATTCGTATGTGCATTAAGTTACAGATCATATTTTGTAAGTGATTGAATAATGAAGTGAACTATTGTCTGTTTGGAGACTTTTGAATCATCATGTATACAGTAGAGCGTCGTTTATCTGAATCAATTGGGGACTGGGGTTGTTCGGATAACTTATTTTTCGGATAACCGATTATGTACGAAATTTTTCTCCCTTGTGTGTCGCTTCGCGTTGAATTTTCGTCGATGTTAAGCCTAATGTAAACTTTTTAAAATAATAACCGTGGCTATTGTATCGTTAAAAATTATTTCTTTATTTTTTACAAACAAAATAAATATATTGAAAAATATAAAAACAAAAAAAATGTATACTTTAGAAGTTATCTAGTATCAAAAACGTTCGATTCAACATGACACACAGTACTCAGAAAAACACCACACAAGAGTGACAGTGCTGCCAGCAAAACACATACACAAACATAAAAAATATTGGAGTAGCCCAAGATATAGACAAAGATTGCAGCGCCATAGCACTAGTGAAAATTTTAATTTGCCGACTGGAATTCTTTCGGATAAACGACGCTCTACTGTATATACTACGTTTGTTGAGAATGTAGTAGCTACTGAGGAAACACACATACTGCATGTGACAGTTAATTGAATTAAGAATATTTAAATGCATATAATTTCATTGATTTCTGACAATTTAAATTTTTTGTTTTTGACAAGGAGATAAATAATATGATCATCTGTAGGAGAAGATAAACAATATCAGTTTTAGAAAGGTTATGTCATTTATCTCTATTGTACCCATGGCTAATGAAAATGCACATTATTACAGATAAATAAGTAAGAAAATTTTCATTTGTTGCTTGATTAATCTTATTTTGCTTAAGAATATAGTTTATATATATATATACACACACAATATGACCTTGAGAACAGATGTCAACTTGACAATAGATAAGTGGGAAATAGATTGACTACATTGCATTCATAGTTTTTATGGGCTATATTATTGGTTTAATTTCATTCATCATGTGTTTTCATTATGAATTAAGTATAAATAACATATCATGCTTACAGTTTAATAGTAAGTATTGTGAGGAATGCAGAAGTTTAGACTAATTAAAATCCGAATCCATTACGGCAATAGGAAATTTTTGTGACTACATCTTAAACATTAAAATCAAACTTTAATTTGTTATGTCACATTAATGTTATATCAATGATAAGTTTTGTGGATATTCAAAAGTATTTGCAAATAGTATGTTTAATTTGTAAATCATTAGTAAATTTTAAATTTATTAAAAACTTCTAAAGAAAGAAAATTATTATAATTAAGCAACTTCATTTAGCTACAGTTGTGATATTGATCAAATTAGTGCATTTAAAAGATTTTTAGAGTTGTAATTTTTAACATATACTATGCAATTATAATTGTCAATCTATAAATCAATGATTCTCAACCTGTGTTTCATGGAACATACTGTACTTTCCGGTGTATAAGACGACCCCCGACTTTTATAGTTAAAATATAGTTTTTGGGATATACTCGCCATATATGATGACATCAGGCATATAAGACGACCCGCAACTTTTGAACTGCTTATCGATTTTTCATGCTAATGATACACAACAAAAAGTATCATATTTACTTGCATATAAGACTACCTCACATATAGGACGAGGTGTGACTTTAAAGATCAAAATAAATAAAAAAAAATTAGATTTATTATTACAATTTTAAGTTTGTATAATCACATTAAAATATCAAATGAATGTAAATGCACACATAGTCCAGCAAAAAATACTGGCATTTTAAACTTTAAGAAAAAATCTTGTAAGTCGACAATATAATTTGATCATGTAAAGCTGGACAATCGGGAACCTTTTTTGGGAATTCATAACAGTTGAATCCATTCTGCGTCGATTACATTTATGAATTTTTCCGAATTCTGATTTCCAAATAATCATCTGTTTTCACATGGGAATGGATTAAAACTTATATCATGCCCCCGTGTGATTTTGGAATTTCAATATGGAATTTAATTCAAAAGTTTTGCTTTTCCTATTGCTATTCATCTTTACTTCTGACAATATACAAGAGCGATTCAAACAACCCAGGTAAAATACTTTTGTTTTAAATACAAGAGGGTAAGTATCCAGTAAAAAATGCGAATACACAGTTCACAAAAATTATTTGCAAAAGCGCAAAGAATCTTTCACTTGCGCCTATAGGACAACCTAGGAATTTTAAGTAGTGAAAAATGAATAAAAACCTAGTCTTATATGTGAGTAAATACAGTATATGAATGCTGTACCACAGCTTCAGAAAGGTTGAGAACCACTGTTATAAACAGTGATAATGTTCAGATTGTGTTATTGGCATTGTATAATATAATTTTAATCTTTATTAGTTTTTCTTTCTTTAAGGAATTTTTAAAATACAGTAATACCTCGACTTACGTGAACCCGGAGTTACGCGATTTTCAAATCTCGTCGATTTGTCTTTTGTTTGAGTGCCACGTAACCCTTGATTAATCACTCCCCCCACACCATTGTTCAGCTTACATGTTCGGACTTGTCGCACGGAATCAACGCATAGCTACAATTTATTTTGTGTTATTTATTTCTATGTTTGTTATATCTACGGAGACTCGAGAGACTCTATGTGGTGATTTCTTGTAACTGTGAATGAATCAAAAGATGAGATAAGATTAACGAGAACATTTATTAGCTTACATACATCCAATTTGGATTTTACACAAATTGCGAAATTATACCCCGACTTACGCGGTTATTGCTCGGTCCCACCTATCGCGTAAGTTCGGGGTATTATTGTATTTCAATAAAAATTTTTGTAGTTGCAACTGTGCATAAGCTAAATTAGTGGTTTCCAGCCAGTGTGCCAAGAGACATATAAAAAAAAATTGAAGTGACAAATTTTAATATTTGTTAGAAGTAGATTTTGTTATTTGTTGTGTATTATAACTGTATTTCAGGAGTTTGTTCTGGTAAACTATCACAGGAAAAGTGTTAGAGAAATCTCCATGATTGATCTGTTGATCAGTCCAATAGTATTTTATAACTAAGTGCATTGCAACTTTTGTGTGATTAAGTGTGCCGTAAGTCCAAAAAAGGTTGGGAACCGCTGGTTAAATAGTTAACAAAAGATGTGATAAGACAAGGTGTTTGACATTAACAATATTAAATTTCAGCTTATCCATATATTATTTATTAAAATCAGCTAATTTGTATATTTAGTTAGTTAATGAAATTTTTTGTAAATAGGAAAAAAAAAATTTATAAATTAAGTTTTATATTACTTAACTTATATAAAAACTAAGCTAAATATTTTTTACATTTATATAATTATGTTTATATCCATAATGTTTAAAAACAACATGCATTTCTCGTTCATAATTATATGACGTTTATAAGTGAAATTTCATCAATATGAAATTATTAACTTCAGCTAAATAAAATCAATTGTTTATGTATATCAATAAAAAAAATATTTTCTCTGTGATATGAGTCTTAAACTATAGTCTTTTTGATGGCTTGTTAGATATAGTTGTGATATTGTAGACAAGTAGGTGTAATATATCTGGGATAAACTTGTATAAAAAAAATATTATTAGAAGAGAGGAACTTTAAATTACTCCAGCAATTTTATTGATAATGTCTTTAGGATTTTACTTTCAAATTCATTCTAATTAAGAAAGTAGGTTTTTGTTTTTGTTTTTTTTTTTAACTCTACATCCTGTGGGCACTAAGAGGGCCTCCTTTAGCAAGTCCATTATGGGTTCAGCCATGCCCACAATGGGATGGCTGGGTAGTGAGGGACAGGGCCTAACATATCCATATGGATCATCCCCGAAAAATTCCTGGGGATTTGACTAGTCCAGATTCAATCCCAGAGTGGTAAGCTGCCACCTTGACTAATCGGCCATCTGGGCGGATGGTAGGCTGCCTACCATCTGGGTACCTGGGATTAAATTCATATGGGTCAAAAAAATCCCAGGAGTTTTTTGGGGTGTGGTCCACTGGATAAGTCAGACCTTATCCCTTATCATCCAGTCTCTTCATTGTGGGTTTGATTAATGGGCTTGCTAAAAAGAGGCCTTCTTAGTGTCCACAGGCAGAACGAGTTCAAGGAAAAAAAAGTAAGGTAAGAAAATAGGTAATTGTATTATAATTGTACAGATTGATAGATATATTTTTCATATATTAATCAAGATACTGCTATTTTTCCTGTATTAAATTTGTTTAAAATTTCATCTAAACTAGTCAAAGTTTCATTTTTAAAAATGATTTAAATCTTTTTAGTCATTATTCATCTCTTGCTTTTGTTTACATAAATACTGTATGGTGATATATAGTCTTTCTTGTTCATTGAACTTTACACTTTTAATAATTGGTGTTACTTACAGTAACTGTAATTCAATATTTCAGTCTGTTTGGTTTGAATAATAGAATTGTCATCAATTTTAGAATATTAAGTTTTATGGACATAAAAGGAAAGCTGATTGTTGAAATTATATCTATAAATTCAGACTGTTGTATAATGTATTTGTTTTAACAATTTTTTAACATTTCACATTTGTTTAGTCTGTTTCATATTAATTTTAAAATCAATATTATATATTTTAAATGATCCTACATTATATAAGTACAAGGTGAAGTAAAAATAAGTGGACAGTAAACAATAACATTTATTGAGATACATATAAATTTTGAGATTACATATACAATTATATTTACTAATACAATACAGTGCAATTTTATGAATGCGGGTGCTCAAACTGCTGTCCATCACAATTTACACAACTTTGAAGTCTACATTTCACATTTCATGCTTTGACAAACATTTTAGCATAAGTATCTTTATGTATTAATTTCATGAAATGCATTTCTGATGTAATTTTCAACCATAACCAAGTTAAATATACACCACTGTTTTAGTATAGCCCTAACACAAACCCTATTCCACCTACTGTCCATCTACTTTTGGTTCACCCACTATGTATAGAATGTGCCATTTAATGACAGTTAAGCTCCAAAATCCAAACTATACATTAAATAAATAGAGTGTAAATGTCATAGTGTATTTAGACACATCTATATGGTAGAGGTGGCCAAACCTATATTGGAAGGTATTTTATATATACATAGAGGAATATCATCAAAGTTGGATCCCTATATGTAAGTAATAAGTCATATGGGTCCAATATAGGGGAGCCACAATAAAGATTTGGAAGAGCTCAGTTTGGCCATTGTGGCTATATGGTATGGTCTGCTACTCATATAAGCTGTATGTAACGAAGCTTTTATATATCTAAACATAGAAAAGGTACAAGTAGCAATAAATTTTACAGCTCTATGGGATTTCTGTCATTAAGTGGCACATACTTGCATATGTATAGATATCAGATCTGGTTATTATATAACTGTAGAATCCATACCACATCCAAATCCAAATATGAACAAGTGAATATTAATATGGATTAGATGATAGAAATAATAATGAATAATGAGAATTAGAATAAATTATTTTTTAAAGAAGTAAGCTTAAACAAATACAGGTAAAAAATAAAATCATTAAAATACATTAGTCTTCACCACCGTGTGCAATAGTGACAGGTGTATAGTAATGTTTTAAATGTAACTGCTGGCATTATGTCTGTTAATAATAGAAAGCACCAACTGAATTACATGTAATTTACACAAAAAAAAATTGAAATTCTTGACCAGCAGAAGCACTGTTTCAGTTTTAAATTTGAATTAAATGTTCGCTTCATCAGTCATACTTTTTTAATAAAAAAAATTAGAGCATTTGGAAAATAAACATTGTAGTAAAAAGGAATAATTCACCAACTGTTTTAATATTGCTAAAATATTTATAAATTATGTGTCGGTGATTATGAAAGTATAGACAAAAATATCATTATTACTTTAAATTTCAAAATTACATGTAAAAAAAAAAACCTATTTTGCAAGAATAAATATATTTGTTTTTTCTTTTTATGATGATGATGATGATAAATATTTTTAAAAATTTTTACAAACTCAAAAGTCAATATCTCCAAACAAAAAATATATGACTTAAGATCACTTTTGTAATCATTGGCACATACAGGCATCATATAAAAACTCAAATTTATCATCTTAGATTTAATTATTATAAATGTTTTCATCAATTCTAAATACATTGTTATTAGATCTATTTGATTTTGTTAGAATATTTTAAAAATATGTAAATTCTTTAAAATACTAATCTATAATGCAAGGAAAATAAGTTTCTACCATAATAATTCATTTAAAATGGAAACTGATAATTAAACAAGCTGTTGTTTTGTCCTGACTCATCATTTCTACAATAGAACATAAAAATACAATTTTATACACAGTCAATAACAGAAAATTAGCTGTTTAAATGTAATTCATGCATTTATTTACATTGATAAACATTTTTATTGATTAATAATTAGCCATTGATTCTCCAAGTTATTTATTTTTAACTACACTTGGTGTACTAAAGACTTTTTTCATATTCATCATGGATTTCTTGAAGAGGGATGGCAAAGTAGTGAAGGACAGAGTACAATGAAGCCTATGAAAATTACTGAGGACACAACAAGGATTTGAACTTGTCCTACAGAGTGTCAGGCCAATTCCTATATTATGTCATCCAGTCATTGGCTGATTCTGTAATCGTTTGTGTGTGTTATCAGATTGATGCATTATTTGTTAATTAGAACTTTAATCTATATAACTTGTGTTTAACCTGTTGTTAGAATAATCTAATGCTAAATTTTTATTATTATTTTTGAGAAAAATAAAATGATGTGAAAGGTTTATTTTATAGATGTTAATTATAAATAACTCATTCATATACATAAAACTGCTATGTTTTTATTAATAAAAATGAATCCTGACGAAGGATTTCAGTTCTTGTAACTTATAAGTAATAGTGATTAAATATATGAAATGAAAATAATTATGAATGAAATACATTGAATTTCTTACATTATCGGAAACTTGAATTATGTGACAAGTAAAAATTCATACTTTAAATATTCATCTCAGCGTAGGAGGAAAATTATGTCGAGAATTGCATTGCTTATAGAACATAGATAATAATTAAAATTTAGTAATTAATGAATGTTTATTATTTATGGTTTAAAATGCGAAAAGTTACTGTTTAGACGAAACTTCATGTCATTCCAACAATTAATCAAACGAGTGTGTGTGCAACAACATTTTCCTTTTCATTTTTGCGTCGTTTGGAAAAACAAGGCTGTTCATAAACTTTACAAAGAGTTTGAACTTCAGTCTGTAAAACAGCAAATCTAAAATGTGTTTATTCTGTGGATATTGTGACAAATGTCAATAAAGGCTGCTACACTGGAAGGACGTCGCTGTAGAAGTTTACTTCCAAAATTCACCTTTAGTCATATTTATATTCATTTTATTTATATATTTGAAATATTTATTGTTTTAAGCATTTTATAAAATGTACATCTACAAAAACTTGTATTAAAGTGAAGTAAATGGAAAGAATAAATTTATACAAAAATTAAATATACGTTGTTTAGTGTTGTTTTTTTAATACACAAATCAGAAATTAACAGTAAAATATGTATAAGAGAGTTAATTTAATTAACTCTCAAAAGTTTAAATTGATATCTACCATTCAGAAGAAAGTTAATGAAGTTTTTGGCCTTACATGGGACTTAGTTGCTGTCAAACATTAAAAAGTTTAAACTTAAAATTTCAATTTATAAAATAAGATAGCATTATAAAATGTAAAATCTGTACAGGACGAATCCGCAATTTATTCCCCTTCGCCCGACAAGTATATTCGAATATAATTACAATTTAAATTTAACTAAAAGGCAGATATTTTAACTCAACATAGAACACACTGTACCATAACTACACAAAAAGCGGATTCAGAGGGTGAAAATCCCACCAATCGCGTACGAGAAAGCCGACCAATCGACGTAACGAATACTGAACGACCCGTCCAATAAGCGGTTAGATTCGAACGACCAATAACTTTCCGTTCCCGACACGGCCGGGCCAATACTACCAGAGGACACCGATGACGTAAGCGCGAGTCATCGTGTAGTAGTTGGTACCGTTCGAAGAAGATTGTTTCCGAGGTTTGTTGAAAAGCGAAGTCCGTTTGGGAAGCATTCGGTCAAGAAAAATCGGTAAATATTAAACTCTCCTAACTCCGTAGATTAAGCTAAAACGCGTTATTAAACTCACGGCGCAGTAAAATCGTCGGTAATATGCGGTTTATATTAAAAAAACAGTTTGTTTAGTTACGGCCGCCATGTTGTTCGTTAGGCCTAAAAGCGATGAAAGAAAAACGGGATTGACAATCGCTCCGTTATACGCTTTAAAATGTACCCTTTCTCGTTTAATTTTATACTTTTGAAGCGCGTTAGATTTAGTTATAACGGTGACAGCGATGTCATCGACCTTAAACTGAAGTTTGGCCTTAATGCCGATGTGTTACTGTAAGGTAAAAATTTTGAAATAGGCCTAAGCTCGTTCGTCTGTTTCCTCGATACGTTCCTCGAATTATCGATTTATTTAACGTTATTTTCACGTAAAATCGACACGTTACGTCGTTCTGTTGACATATATTCGACTTTTCTAGAATATTTTCCCCTTTATTTTATTTATTTTTTAAAATAATAAATTTCTTTAGTATTGCTTCAGTGAAACGTTTCCCGTTAAGTTTCCTGCTGCTAATAAAAAGTATTCTGTGATAAGGTTGGCTGATTTATTTATTTATTTATTTTCTTTCTTTCTAACAATGTCTTAATAAGCTTTAAAGTAATTTAAATTAATGATTACTTTGTTTGTTAAATTTAATGTAATTTAATTGTTTGCCTCCTGAAATTGTATTTAATTAGTGATTTATTGAAGCATAAACTGTGATTTTTTTTAGGAAATTTGGATTGCGGCTGGAGGAATTCAAACTCTGTCTCGATTTATATAATTCAGACGGTTCGAATTGGTTGTGCGAAAGATTAATGGGAATTAACCTTTGTTAATTGGACTTGAATATGTAATGGTCAAATAAATGTCAAATCGGAAACTAGGTGAAGTCTAATAGGTGTTTTTTGTTTTTCGTTTGTGACATTTAAATTTTTTTAAATAAATGGTCTATTGATTTCTCTTTGCATAATTAATATTAAAACTTTCTGAAAAGTTTTTAATTAATATAAAATTTGACTTAAATGTGCAATACTTAAATTGACTTTACTTCGAATATTTTAGAATTTAAAATTGAACAATAAACCTAGTTTCTGTTTTCTGATAACATACTATTTATTTATTTATTTTTAATGCAGATACAATTCTTTTGTTTGTAATATTTTTAATGCTTTCAGAAAATGTTGAAAAAAATTTAATTTTCAATATTTTTAGCTTATTGCATACTGAGATAAAATGTTGAAATTTCTTATTGATGATATGTGATGAATATTAATAAATGTTGTTGAAATTAGGGCTCCTTTTCTCTTCTGGAATACATACAAAAGCAAAACAGTAAATATTTTATTTTTTATTCTGGATATGTTTTATTCTTAATATCAATGTGTGTGAGATGCTTTGAGTTTATTTAGAATGTTTGCATTTATATAAAATTAACTACATTTGTAATTAATTTTCCAAATTATTATTTCTATTGATAAAGATAATAGAAGTTTCTTAAATTAGCTTGATTTTGCTAATTGCAATAGAAACAGCTATATTGTCAGGTAACAATGAAATAATTCATGTGCTATTTTTAAATTTATTTAAAACATTAGTTTTGCTTAGCAATTTTTTTTTTTTTTTTTTTTTGAGCNTTGTTGTGCTGCTAGGAGTATTCAGACAAGACTATAGTTCCAAATGCATGCTCAAATAAACTTAAAAACCACTGGCATAAACATAAATATACTGTATTTTCAATATATGCATTTACCACTAAACTAAATACCACCATAAATATTTTAAAATTAAGATGAAAACTTTGTGGTTACCCAAGCACCTACAATGTCATAAGGTTTTTTTTTATCACACAGATTAAAGGAAAATTTGTTTTGATATGTTAAGTTAAATAAATAATTTTTAAGCATTTATTAATGAAATGTTTAAAACTTGCATTAAAATTTTATGGCAATACATCTTTATCTTAAAAAGTCTTATCATTTGCAATAGTAATTAAAGTGCAGAAAAATTAGGTTACAAAAATTATACTTCCAATTCAAAAGAAAATCGTTTGAAATACAATGTGAATGAAAATACTTGTTCCTTTTAGTCATTTTAAGTAGGTTCTAAAATGGAAAGAATTCAAAATACAACTGAACATAAGCATATGGTTACATGGAAAGAATAGTCTGAAATTATTTTTGGGAAACCCTGATGTTAGAAAGTACTTGTATATCTTTGATACCCAAACTTTGCTAGAACAGAATTCTTCATTTTGTTTAATAATTTAGTCATCATCCTGAAAGTATTTTTAGGCTGAAACAAACATTGATAACAGGAGGATTTTAAGAGTAGAGATGGTGTGAACAGTAAGAACCAAGTAAACATTTCATTTAATAATAATGTCCAGCTTCATAAAAGTATTAATTCTAAATGCAACATTAAATTGGCATAAAATCTATTGGTTTATTCAGTTTTAGGAATGAAAAATTTCTCAGGTAACAGCAGAAAATTGAGTTTGTACTACGTAGCTTTACTTGGTCACTTCAATACTGTTACAATACCTCTATTATTATTGTCATGCATTAGGAAGTGCATGGCAATAGAGCCTGATGTTTTCAAGTTCAATCAATATTTGCTTCAGTCCACAAAAAACTAATTACTTGATAATCATTCTATAAAATTGTGCCTAAACTAAGGCTTCCTGGACCAAATCTGGTGTACAGTGCACATAAGCCTGATGAACATATTTAAATGATTTGTTTTTTTAAATGACACATCACTTATTAAAAAAAGATAAAAATAAACCTACTTTTTGTATGCATGGAATATATGTAAAATGTTTGTGGCCCACCTTTTTGAATGCATAAGAATTGAATTTATTTAAGAATGTTTATAAAATAAACTAATATTTTATGACAACTACTATTGTTCACATGTTTATTTCAGAACTTTGTTCAATATAAATGAAAAATAAGTTGTAATATTTAGTTATTAACATTTATAAAATTTCATAATTTTTTTTTTTTTTGTACATTTCTGTTAAATAATTTTTTTATCAGTATAATACTAATACAAAAGGATATTGTTCTATTTCATAACAATGAAAATCCAGCAAGTCCTCATTTAATATTGTCGATGGGTTCTTGGAAACTGCAACGTGTAATGAAACCAAATTTATCCGCGGACTGAATGATGTTTAATAAGATATAATTCGGTTGATAATGCATGTTTGAAACTGCAAGCATTTATTTTCCATCTCAATTTTACTGTTTTGTAAAGAAAATTCAACAATGATAATTGTCAATGATTACAAATGTGCATGATGTAACTTGTTTTTAAAATTTTTCATTCTAGTGCAAATTATTTTTTACTAATTGATGCCCACTTTTTAAAATAATACCTAAAAGTTTATATTGTAATGTAGAGGACGTGGTTGCTGTATCATCAAATGCAGTGTGTAGCGTCTGTGTAATCCAAAACGAGTTGGTAGACGAACGGACAGCAATTGGTTAGAAAACGTACGTTTTATTTAAAAAATTCTTAATTTAATTTTTTCTAAATTAAATTAAACTATTTAACTAAATTTTCTAAAATTCTTAATTCTTCTTAAATTCTATAAGCCAACTCGAAATGCATGTGAATTAAGAATTTTTTAAATAAAACATACGTTTTCTAACCAATTGCTGTCCGTTCGTCTGCCAACTCGTTTTGGATTACACAGACGCTACACACTGCATTTATATTGTAACTTTTGTATTTTCTTAGTAATTAATGCTGCAAACCAGTACAATAGTGATTGGCTGTTGTTTAATATCTATTTTAATTTACTGAAATGAATTAAGTGGTTTATTGCTTAAGTTTTTCTAAATAACTTTATAATATGACTAGCTTTTGCCCGCGGCTTCGCTCGCATTAAGAAGTATTATTATTAATTAGGTATAGTTTTTGCGGCTTTACTTTTGTTTAGTGTGTGTAAAAAATTAGGGCCTACAAAACTTCTTTGTACACAATATTCTTAACTAATCTGTCATTAGGTGCTAAAACTATNCAAAATACTTTATTTGTGTAATTTTTCCATTTGTAAATATCTGAATTTTTAAAATTCATTATTCTGGAGATGGCAAATTTAACTAATTTTAAATGTTTATTTCAACTTCATCAGATAACATGAACATTGTCAACTTGACTATATTTCAAGCTAAAGCTCTATTCTTAACTATTGTAATAAATTGTCATTTGTTAGAAATTTAAAAAAATGAAAATAAATTTCTTTATTTTAAATTATTTTATTCTATACATCAACAAATTATCTAGTGAGAAATTAATGGTTTATATAAAACCATTAGTTACATAGCCATTATATATTGGCAATATTTAATCATCAAAAGCCATCAAATGTGGAAATTATGCATAATTATTTACTTTATAATAATAACTTACATTTCTTCTTTTTAATAATCATATTTGTATAAATATAAATGATGCTTTGTGTTCATTTGGAATTTAAATATAGTGTACAAGTGACTCTTGTGTTTATTTTTATTTGGATTTCTTTCTCTTGTAATTTTCTGGTAAGATTTAGTTATTAATAGTAACATTAAAAAAAATTTCTTTCAAAATTCTTTCGTATATTGATTTTGTTCCTGATTACTTGTCTTTTATGGTGTGAATGACATTCCTTATTCTATTACATTGTAAGTTAGACTTTGCTGTTTGCATTAAAAATATGCAGAACAGCAGAGATGATAAAAATTCAAACAAATGTTTGGTTATTGTAATATTTAGGCTTTGATTGCTTTTGACTATTCAATTTGTTAAATATACTTTACGAAATATTGGCTAGTAAGAGTAAGAAAGAATGTAATATTAATCCACTTACTCTTTTGTGTTAGTTTTAACAATTGGTTTTAAATTTAAACTATTATCTCAAAATTCTGTTGCTTTAGTTTATTCAGGAACTTAATTCTACAATTTTTTAAAATTCAAAACAGACTGAAAGCTTTTGTTCTAAACATTATTGGCTAACATAATGACTGTTTTGACATGGGACCTGTTGAGTAAATGGAACAATCAGAAATTGTTGACACCTTTTTTGAATGCATAAGAATTGAATTTATTTAAGAATGTTTATAAAATAAACTAATATTTTATGACAACTACTATTGTTCACATGTTTATTTCAGAACTTTGTTCAATATAAATGAAAAATAAGTTGTAATATTTAGTTATTAACATTTATAAAATTTCATAATTTTTTTTTTTTTGTACATTT